GTGCGGGGACTACGCAGCCGCCTTCGCCCTGCCCCGGCGCCCTTGCCCCCGCACTAAGCGCCGGGGACGCGAGTCCGGGACGGAGTAGGGAGGTGGGAACGGGAAAGGACGCGCAGGCCAGCGCCTCCGGGGAAAGGGCTGACTTCTCGGGCCGCACACCCTTAGGACTGCAGCCTGCGGCGCCGCCGCCGCCGCCGCCGCCGCCGCTCGCGGGGAAGAGATGGCGGCGGAGCGGGGAGCCCGGCGACTCCTCGGCACCTCCTCCTTCTGGCTCTGTTGCCTGCTGCTGCTCGGGCGCCGGGCGCCGGGAGCCGCTGCCGCCAGGAGCGGCTCACCGCCGCCGTCCCCAGGTAAGAGGTGGCTGTGGGGGCGCGGGCCCGGGAGTCGCGGGGTGGGGGTGGGAGCGGGGGCGCAGCCCGGACCCCGGCGGCCGCTGCAGGTTTTTGTTTAGGATCCTGGAGGAAGGGTGCAGGAACTTGTCCGCCTCTGCTCGGGTTGCCGGAGAGAATAGGGGTCGCGCTGGCGGAGAGGGAAGTAGGCTGGCGGGGGCGCCGCCAGGGGAGGGGCGGCCGCCGGGGCGCGTTCGGTGCTCCGGGGTTCTGTTCTACGCTTTGTACCCGGAGGCAGGTTCACCCCTCGCCTCCCTCCCATCCCCCAGGCTCATCCCACTTGTAAGAGTGGGACATTCTTGTGCTCACACCAGCACCAGCAGAGGCCACTCCACACCTCATTAAATAAACAATCGGACGGCCAATTCATTAATTTTTCTGGGAAGCAAGGGGGAGGGGGGCTTGAACTCCACATTCCCTGGCCTGGGATTTCCCAGCATAAGTCCCTGGGAGGCTCTGGCAGATCTTGAGGGGCTCCGTGTGTGCGATTGTGGCCCCACGGCTGCGGAAGAGAGAGTGTCAAGCGGGCACCGTTGCCTGCTCATCGCCAGTGGTTGGGAGTTAATGATGAGGACACCGTGGAGATCGGCTCCAAGTGATTATATCTGTTCATGTTTCCGTTATGAAACGCCTCTTCCATGGGATTACAACTGCATTTACAGGCTGTTAACCTCTCTTAACCTAGGGAATCGTCTAAGCATTGGATTTTTACAAAGTATTGGTATGTTGGTTTAAAGCGGCAATATGTAAGTAGGTTCATCCTTGAAAAAACAGTTCCAGATTTAAATAGATTACCGAATAATAATAGATTACCGAAATCTCTTGCATTCCCATTTATGTAAAGGGACCAGTGAACAAAATGCCAAGCTTGCCTGTAAAGACCTTGCTGTGTAATTGAGGAGTGGGACCTACTCAGCAGTTGAAGGACAAATTAGCGTGTAATCTGTTTAAATTGTTTGACAAAGTGGTATATCATAAAACTTGACAAAACTTTCACCTACTTGCTGGAGATCGGATTTTTTTTTTTTTTTTTTTTTGCGTTTTAAAGTCATCTGATCAGGCAACTTCTGTGTCACTAAATCACTATTTGTTTTTCCCTGACTTTATATCAAATATGTAAAATCACACTGCAGTGGAACATGGTTGATAAATTTTCTTGTGATTTTCGTTCAGAGTATGTATAGATCATGACTTTTGCCAAAGTAAAAAGCTTTAAACCTGAAGTACCAAAGAGTTTTATCAGCATTTAAACAACACAGTGTTTTAGTATCTAAGTCTTAGCTGGCACTTCCAGTCTGCATATGGTTTCGAACACACATTTTGATCCAACTTTTTCTATTTTTGTGGATAGGCATGAGAACTGTAAATGCCTTGGAAGATAGGTTTTCTCTCAAGCTCCTTTAATTTTACATGAGAGAATTTTATGTATTGTTCAGATCATGTGTATTTTAGGGCTTAAAAATTAAACCAATTTAAAATTTTGTCAATTTTGTGAGTAAAAGTACTAATAACTTCATAACATAACTTAAAAATTATAAACAGTTTCAGGAAATAGTCATAACAGCTCTTTCAGCATTAACTGTATTGATAGACTAATTTTGCACTAATAAGGTACAAGACATTGCTCAGCTGTCCACTGCCTTCATGGAGCTTACAGTCTGGTGTTTAGCTGTTCTACTAAATGATATAATTAAGTCATTGTGATCTGCACTATAAATAACAGGTTTGGGGAAAGTGTATCCTGCAGACCTAACTTCAGGGGAACGGTATTTTCAAAAGTGGTGAAACCTGAGAGATGAGTAGGAGTGGAGACTGGGCTGCTTACAGCTAATTAGTGGTTTAGTTGGGTCCAGAACACAGATTTGACTCTTGGTCCACTGTATTTTCCACAAGCTATCCTGCCTCATTACAAAAGTGGGAGGAATCACTGCAATAAGGAAAGGCTGGTCAGTTCTGTCATAAACTGAAGATCAAAGGAATTGAGAAGGAGGAAATGGCAACTGAAACAAGCTGTCAGATATCCCCTGTCAGTGTTGCAATTTTTTAGTTTTTGTAGGTTTAGACAATAGCCTGTATGTTTCAGAGGTGTAGGATTTTCTTCTTCAGACATATGGTATCACACCATACCCACCACCAAGGCATTCAGATCTTCTTAAAAGGAGATTGCAGTAAGTTGTAGGGGCAGGGAGAAATATTTATTTGTACCTAAAAGAAAATAGGGGTGTGGAACAAAAGAATAGTGGAGATTTTTCTCCCAACTTAGGGTGGATGTATAGACAAGAGAAGATGGAGGAAAAGGGGAGGGAAACAGCTGAAGGAGAAAAGTCAGCAATGGAAGACTGTTAGGAATGATGATGGTGTGAATCATTACCTCACACTGCTTGGTTTTATGAAGGAAGGAAAGAACAGGCAAGGAAGATGTATAGGGACCTAAAGACAATATGTCAGAGTAACCTTTGCAGTGCATGCCTTCTCAGTTTAGAGTGCCGGGGTCAAGGAATGGTTGGGGAGGAACTGGGATGCAGGAAATGGAGAAAGTTGGGAAGGCAGTTTGAACTGAAGTAGAATATAGCAACTATTTCCATACTTTCCCCAGCAGTTTTTTTGTACCCTAGTAGCAGAATTAGTGAGAAGTTGTAATCCAGTACCGCTTACTTGTGGGTTACATGACATAGGTAGAAACTGTCTTTAAATTTTTTTTATTAGAACAATCCCATTCATTGGGTCAGATTGCAAAAGAATATTTGACAAAACTGTCATAATAGTTTGAGACTACACTTGACCTAGAATTTGGAGTTGTATTGTAGAATTCATGCAGCTACGCTTTTTTATTTAAGAAGGGATTCTTTTGTTAACCTTCTCAATCGTTGGCTTTATTGGGTCTGAATATTTTCCCTCCTTAAATTAAGAACCATTGTTTTACATCCTTTTTAATTGTTTTGACAGTGTAGGATTTCTCCCCTCCAGTGTGGTGGCGGTAGTTTTCCCACCACCAAAGCTCCTGTATTCCTCCACCATCAGCCCATTGTGCTCTCAGCTACAGTGTTCTCACCCCTTCCTCTCATCCTCCCCCAGAGGAAGAGTTAAACCTTAATCATGTAATTGATGATGTGAATCATTACCTCACAAAGTAGTCTATTCCTATTTTGAATATCATGTTAGTGTACTCTGCTTTATTGTAGTGCACTCAACTTCATCATCACTCTCCATCCTTTTTGAACTTTTTCCTCTTGCCTTTTTTGACATCATATTATCTCCATTCATCTTTTTTCTGATCATTTCCCTTGTTTCTCAGATTTTCTTTCACTTTCATTGAATATTGGCATCTTAAATTGATAATATCCTGTACATTCTCCTGCACATCAGTTGCTACCTGTAAGCTAATGACTCTCCTTTATGTCTCACTCAGTAACTACACTGAAAAAGTACCTTATATTACACCAGACCAGAGAAAACCTCATCTTTGCTCCTCTTCATCCTACTTCCCTCAGCCTGTGTCTCCAGACCATAACAAACCATTCCTTGTTTTTACATTGTATGGATTTGTTTTCCTGTGTTACAACTGTCTTGAGCATTTTCTGTTAACTGCTCACCCAAGATGAGATCTAGAAGTCATCCTGGTTCCTCTTCTTTCCCTCATTCCCTGAACGGGTAGTTCTGTTTGATTTTTTTCTCCTAGCTATTTCGTGAATATCACTTTGTATCTTTTCATCCTCACCTCTGCCTAGAACAATAGTGGTTCCATAATTAATCACTTTATTTCCAGTTACTCTCTAGAAGTCTGTACACCTGATGAAATGACCTTTTTTACATATTTTTTTTTCTGAGCATGTAATACTTCTTATTTCCTGTTATTAGTGTTCCATAGCTTGGGTACTAAAGTGTATAAACTATTTGGGGTAGAGGTTGTGTGGTTCTTTATGTACTTTATGACCTCCCCTCGGCCATTTTTTTTTTTAAAGATTTATTTATTTGTGCATACAGAACTGGGGTACAGGCCAGAGGCTCAGGGGCGGCGAGAGGCTTCACCAGAGACAGAGTGGGGAGCAGAACAGGCAGATGGACAAAGTACACTGCTGAGGGGAGCAGCAGGTGGGTCAGTAGAGGTCTGCCACGCCATGTGGTCACCTCCGGGGCAGGCGGGAATCAAACTCATGAGGAAGCGGCTTTAGATTCTCAGTGCTGTGCTTTAACCCGCTGCGCCACCAGGGAGGGCCCCCTCGGCCATTTTAAAGCCTCATCTTTTGGCACCACTATTATGCCCTTGGTATTCTATCTCTGCGGAATAACTGCAGGGCTTCATGTCTCCATGTCTTTCAGCATGTTGTTTTTTTCTATTAATGCCTCCTTGTTAATCCTTCCTCGTTCACCTCTGAAGCTCCTATCCCTCCATTCAGTGAATGATTCTCTATTAATCCCCTTCAAAGAAAGAGTCATCATTGCCTGTTTCCATAGTTTTTGGAGTTACTATTTCCTTGTTTCCTCTACTTATCTGTACTTGTTGAAGATTGGGACTTCTCCTCCACACCTTTGTATACCTGGCAGAACACTGACATCTGGCACAGAGGAGATAGCCAGTAAATATTTGTTGAATGGCCTTTGTTTTTAACCTCTAGGAACAGATGGCACAGATCTGACTCTTCTATACAGTGGTGCCTCCAGTGGCAAAATTTTTGTATAACTCCCCTCCATTTCTATTCTAAATCAATCATCCTTGATTTTTCAGTCACTTTTCACATTACTTAGTTTTCTGACCCTTTGTGAGTTTGATCATCCTTCTCTGAATAGGCTACAATTTTAGTATTTATTAGTTATATCATCTTTGGAAAGGTCAGTGATCTTACTGAGTCATCAATAAACAAGGACTAATGTTTTGCTGTCTGCTTAGCAGGTTGAGGTTCATAGATTTCATAGATTTCTAAGATACATATTCAAAGAAAGTAAGAAATATGACTGCTCGT